TCACGCAAAGCTCCCCAGAGTGAAATGAGCTCTCATCACGGCGCATGTACAATAAGCCGCCGCCGTCGGCCGGCCGCCCGCGCGCGCGCGTGTGTGTGTGCTATATAACGCTGCTGCACTCCACACGTCGTTCAACGACGCAAGTGCCTCCTCCTACCTATCCTACCTCCTCTTTCTCTCTCTATCTCTCTTCGTCGCTTCTGTGTACACACGTATGCATTTCTCATTGAATGTACCGTAGCATGAACGAGCTTGTAGCAATTAAATTTTACAAAATCGTGCACAACCCAGTGAAACGCAGAGGCCGAGCTATTTGCGTACGATCTATTAAGTGCTGTATATATCTGCAGCTAGAGAGACCGTAGGAAACAGCAGCAGCTGTTGCATTCCCCCGCCATTGGGCAAAAAATCCTCAATCTTTCAATTTGTGGCCTATCGTCTTTTTCTAAGGCTTTCATTTGCACGATCTCAAGTGCTTCCTGTGTTTTCCATACAGGATGATAACAATTCTGAGAACCGTACGATGAGGTAAAAAAAAACGTCAAGGCAAAAAGTAACGAAATCGAAAGTGAATCGCTAGCGTGTGAAATGCGCAATTATTGTTTTGTATACGATACACACGCATCGTCGTCGTCTTGAATCTTTCGAATCTTTAACCGAAAGCATGCGAGCACTTTTGGGCTATAAAATGTTCAAGTTTACGTACGTGCTATCGAAATGTGCACGCGCGCAAAAAAGTTCAACAAACAATTTCTACTCTCGTGTTCTCGAAAGTCAACACACGTATATACATTATATATACGCACAGCAGGCGACGACGCGCCTATCCCCGACGACGACAACTTTTCAAGAGCAATCAAAGTCAAACAGTGGCAGCTACACAGCTGGCGCACAGCAGCAACAGCGCGTCGTTACACGCGCGGGGCTCTTCTTCGCACGCGCTCGCTTGGTTCACGGCCTTAATTAATTCTGCATCGATAGTTTCGCCCGCGCGCGTCTTTCGATTTTTTTATTCAATTGTTTTCGGCTCTCTCTCTCTCTCTTTCTCTATATTAGCCGAACGAACGGCACAGGGAAACTCTCCACTTTTGGAGCAGCGGCAGCAGCAGCATCGATCCTCACGCGTCAACGCGAAAAGCCAAATCTCCGCATCAAAGAGGAGGAATAATTAGTGTACTCGATGCCGATAGCTTTTGCCAATTATGCTCGAATAAGAGGCAGGAGGAGAGAGAGAACGAGAGAGAGAAAGGAAGTGGAAGCGAACAACAACTCTGGCTTGATGCCAGCAGCATAGGGCCTGACGACTAGTTTCAATGAGTATAAACGTGTATATATTTATGTATACCTGTTGCGCGCACCCACGGTACTTCCGGCTCGGATACTGCCTGCCGCTGTGACGTTGCCGCTGCTTCTGGCTGACCGTCTGTAGGTACTACCAGAGCTTTGCTCAGCTTTCAATTCTCTCTCTCCCTCGATATACCTATTTTGAGGGATGATGTATAAAATAACATGCATTTTGTGGGTTTATTGATGATTCAGAAAAATCACAATATGCACTCCGTTGTACATGGATTAAACAATTGCTGTGACTTTGATTGTTTAAATCAAATCTAATCGAAAAAATAGACAAGGATAATCAAGTAAGAAAGAAGAGTACATTTTCTTCGTGGAAAAAGAAGGTTCAAATTCACAACATTTCAATGAAGAATATGAGTTGCAGTTTCAAAATCCGAAGGAAGATTATCCACAGTTAAAACCCGAATGCAGAAGCAAAAAGGCATTCCTTCGTTGGAAAGAAGAGACTCATTCGCGCGCCCGATACAAGTACTGAAAAGAGCGAAGAAAGTGAAGAAAGTAGGATGAAACGAAATTGAATTCGGTCAATGAGAAAAGAATGAAGAGATCGGAAATAAAGTAGAATAAAAATAGTGAAGTTTCGAACGAGAAATGGATTGTAAAACGTTTTTTTTTACTCTTTTTCCTTCTTCTTCATTTTTTATACGACGAAGAATAGAAAAAAGATCAAGTGTAAAAAGTATAGTCTACCTTTGAAAAATTTGATATTGGAGACTCTTTTCGCGATAGAAAGAAAAATAACAGTTGGATTTGTGTGCCTCTTGGTTTTACTCGGTTAAAATCAGAGCGATAAATTAAATCTCTGCTTAAATTTTAATAATAACCGTGAATAACTATGCTAAGTTTACTAAATTTATTTAATTTTCTTAAAAAGACGTATGTCATGGCAATTCATTTAATGAAATATTTTCACCACGGAAACATTAAATAAGAATTTCACAAGTTATGTTATTTTACAGCATATCAATGACACGGCCTTAAAACGCCAAAAAAGAGCTACAGCGAGACTTTATTTCTACACAATTACCCTGTGAATTTTTATCGTGTTTAGAACTGCGCACGAAAATGAAGAGCGAGATTTTTATAGCCGCGTAATTTAGCGAGCGAGAAAATCAGACGATGCGAATAATTGAAATTTTTTACGAAAAAGAGCTCTTTTACTCGTTTCTGACAGTTTGTTAGGATGTATATAGTATTCTACTATAGGCTAGCGCGCGCGTACAGCTGCTAAAAGCAGTACGTGCCCCTTACCCTCTGCAACGCAAATATTACCGAGCCGTACAGAGAGAGAGAGAGAGAGAGAGAGAGAGCTAGTCATAAAAAATCGGAAAAGACGAGATATATTTGCTCAATTTCTTTTCTTTTTCTTAACCTCCTCTGGGCTCTCCGGCTGAATTTTTTTCAGTTCTTCACGTTAAGTTTCAATCTTTTGATGAACGAGCAATTGAGAATTACCAAACGTTTCTTTTCTTTTTTATCTACTCCAGCAAAATTCGAGCCGAATTTCCCGTTTGTGAGCTCTCGTAGATCAACACAGCACATACGTAAAGCGTCGGAACTTGGCGTTTAGAGAAAAGTTCAGCCGGTTACTAGGCATTACAAGCTACAAGAGCGCATAAAGAGCAGCAGCAGAACAGAGTGTGCTTACGATCCAAAAGTTGAGAGCGAGAAGAGAGGACAAGAAGTATCGCGCATATTGCGAGTGTGCTGCTTGCGAGTCGTTAGTGCCTCGGAGAGAGAAACTGCACCACGAGACTTCTCCAACCCTCTTTGAGTAACTATACTTTATTAGCATTGACAATCATTTTCTCAGTTTTCCAAGTTGCAACTACTACTACTACTACTACTAATACTACTACTGCTACTCCGCAAGCTGCACCGAGCTCAGCGACAGTTGTGTTGGCGCGCTAAGGGAGGGAAAATGTACGGGGCGCGCGTGTTTATACATGCACAGAAAAAAGGGTCTCGCGCAAGATCCCATTAGGGCGGAGCAGCAGCAGTGTCGTCGTACTCCGTACGCTGTGTTGCAAAGTTCACATCGTGTGTAATGCAAATTACATGACAGTTTGTGAGAGAGCTAGCTAGCGACGAGATAGCTCACATCGCCGTCGACGCGGGCGACGAGATTGGGGTCAAACTACTCTCTGCTACGAGCTGCAGCGCCGCGTTGCGCGCGGAGAGCTGTTTCGCAGGCAGGCAGTTGTTTTCCATTGCCATCGTATGCGCGCGCGACGAACTTGAGTAACTTGACTAACGCGTGGTTTGCGCCAATTACTGATATATTGAAGCTGAAGAGAACTCCTTGGTGGCACTAGTACTAATTAATATATCTCGTGCCTTTCGTCGTCCATGTCGTCGTCGTCGTCGTCGTTGTCGTCGTCGTCGTCCTCCCCCCTCACGCCTTTTAGAGCTTTCCTTCGAACTTTTGTCCCTGCATGGTATACATATACCGGAACTGGAGCAAGTTATATCGCGTGTATATATTTATATATACACGGCTCGAACGGAGCGAATATTTTATCAATTGATATTCGTTCTCGCTAACGATGAGATTATTTCTGCTGCTGGCGGTCACTCGAGACGCGCGCGATATAATACTTTCGTCGAGAGCATTCGGAAGAAAATGAAATTTGAAGTTCGGCGACAACTGCTTCATCAAGTCCTGATAAGATTTGCATCGGGGCAATTTTTGCAGGAGAAACTACGCGAACTGATATAATGCAAATTTTTACGATTGTGTATATATAATTCTTGTGATTGGTCAAACTTCTCATACGTACAATAGGAATATACATGAACCCAAGTATGTACGGCATTGTTACACACTTCATTGCATGCGCATAATTGTCGCTAGCAGCAGCAGCAACAGCAGCAACAGCATGGCAAGAAGTTCTTCGGCATTAAACAAAAGTAACGCAGGCAGTAACGTGGCGACATTAAAAGTTTATAGGAAAACAAAGTTGGCGAAATGAAATCTAATATCAGAGTGACAAGTCCTGAAGGAGTTAAAGAGAGTAGACACACACTAACACATATACATACGACAAACAACGCACATGCATGTATGTATGCAAGGCAGTAATTTAGAGCCTAGGCGCGCTGCAAAACTCGCCCGTGCGTGTATATGTGCACGTGTACGCTGCAGAGAGTTGAGCACACGCTTGGTGAACAAACTGTCGCGCTATCAGCGTCGAAACGTGTTTTACTTTTTTTCATATGCGTTTTTTTTTCTTTCAAGCCCCCTGGTGCTTATTGTAATGTATATCAATTTTGGTTCGCGTGTTGAATTGCTGAAGTTATTTAAATCAGGTTTCTTCGAAGAAAGAGACGAGAAATTACAATAGTTCAAAAACGAGAGACTGCTTCAAATGTAGAATGTGCTATATATGCATAAAAAAACTGCAGTGTCGACTTTACTCGACAAATTTCAAAAAGTTTTTACTATGGTTTTTCTAACACCTACCTTACCGACTGAAATTCATTAGACGTATTTTAAGTATTGTGAGTAAACATATAATCAATGACTATACTTTAAAAAATAATGTAAGTATCATTTTATTACGTGAGAACGTGGACTTTTTATCTACATTTATTCACATGCAATTGACGTCAATTAATCTAATTGGCATCACGATTGCCATGCGATATACTTCCTTCTTTGTGCATTCTATTTCAGTTTAGCTTCTATCAAGTTATCTTACTAGAACAACATGAATTACCAAGCAACGCATCAATATGAATTGTATCAAAAGAAAACGACAATTTTTTCTACAATAATATTCAATACCTCTTCGAGTGTTTAAATTGTTGATAGATAAAAAATTAATAATCTAATAATACATTGTCAGAATAATTGTACTCAACATAAATTTGCGATACACTTTTCAAGATAAGCAGTTTACTAATTTGCTACTCTTTACAAAATATCAAGTTATTTAATGCCATAATGATCAACTGAGAGAGGGGACAAGACAAGACAAGGGGAGGGGATCTCTCTCGTGTTCTTACACAGTTGCTACTCAAAAAATAACAGACATCAGTTGGTGAGAACGTGAACTGTTGTGTATGAGTGTATGATTGATATTTTTTCACGTTGCACAACTCTATAACTATTTACTACAATGTCGGGGCCAAAAGTTAAAGTAAGTACAATTTGCTTGTTACTATGAATATTTGTGTTTAAAACTAGTGTAAAGATGACCTTTAGAATGAATGTATTGTAACATATCGTATACTTATATCTACCAACCTCTTCAGATTCTTGGAATTTACAGAGTAAAATTATGCTTAATTGTCTTGATAATTTTATATTGAGTCAATATTGATAAACATTTTACGAAACAGATATTAAAAAATGTCATTTTTGCTGATTTTTATAGGATCGGTCGGACGAAATGAAAAAACAATTATTTAAAATTTATCAGTGACTTTACATGAAGTGAATAGAAAGATATTTCTTTTATTTTATCGATGGAAACTATAATTTTTATTGTAGATACATTTTAGGCAATCAAAAATTGGCAACACTTTGTTGTCATTTGTTTGTCATATCGTTTGAGTGGGATGAAGTTTCTTTGTTTTCATAAGTTTACGACCACGTGCATTAATTGGACCAACAGTGAAAAAATATGTGAGGGCGCTACTAGCAAAACGAATCAAAATATTTTCGAAATTTAAAAAAAATTTTAAATAAACTCATTCAAGAGTTCTAAAAATATCTTTCAATAATTATAAAAATATCTCAAATTTATTAATTGTTAGGTAGTTATCAGAACTTGATGTACAATATTCACTAATTTTACTCAACTGAAATATTTAGAGCTATTTAATCGAAGATTATTAATCATTTTGATATCAATTTGAGTGGATAATAATAATTTTATATTCAACGCAGATTGGAATTATTGGTGGATCTGGATTAGACGACCCATCAAAGCAAATTTTCCAACCACGAAATATTATAAAGAGAGAAGATGCAAAAAACGATTTCGGATTACCATCAAGTCATTTATATGTAGGATCGATATCAGGTGTCGAAGTGGTATTACTATCAAGGTAAGTCAATTTATCATAGACTATTTTGCTTTTGGTAGAGATGTATAATTTTTAAATGCTCTTATAGACACGGTCCAGGACATAAAATTTCGCCCACTGGAATAAACTACCGGGCTAACTTGGAGGCATTCCGGAATCTCGGGTGCACTCACGTTTTGGCTTCTACTGCTTGTGGATCTTTAGCCGAAAACATAACTAAAGGGCAGTTGGTTATTCCTAACGATTTCATCGATCGAACTATTCATCGTAAAAATACTTTCTATGACAATACTTCTGAATATTATGAAGGTAACGCTTTGATTCAATATTTATGTTCGGTTTTTTACGTCAAGTTGTTTATTGCAAAATAATTTTACTTAAAATATGAATTTTGTCTACAGGAGTTCGACATATTCCCATGTTCCCAGCATTCGATTGTAAAACAATGGACTTGATTGAACAAGCAGCACAAAATCTCGGAATCTCTGTCATGAAAGGAGCAACTGTTGTAACCATCGAAGGGCCTCGTTTTTCTTCGAGAGCAGAAAGCAATATGTTCCGTCAGTGGGGTGGTCATCTTATAAATATGACTACTTGTCCTGAGGTTGGTTATCATAATTTAACAGGTCAAGAAAAATACGGTTCATATTTCGAATTTTATTAATGACATCGAAAAATTACAGGTTTATTTAGCTAAAGAAGCAGGCCTTCTTTATGCGTCTATAGCAATAGCAACTGATTACGATTGTTGGAAAGAATCAGAAGACAATGTCTGTGTATCAGATGTTTTGGCAATTTTTAAACAAAATGTTGAAAAAGTGACCTCACTTTTAATCAAAAGTGTTGAGTTGATAGGCCAAGAAGATTGGACTCAGAGTATTACTAATGCTAAGGTATAGATTTATAAAAGTAAACAGAACATAAATCTATAATCTATAAAACAAGTCTTAATAATGAGTTTTATTTTTTCAGAATTTGGTGAAGAATAGCAATGTGACTCATTAATTGCAAAAATATGCTCCTAAACCATAAAATGTGATAGAAGTAGACTTTATTATTGATTAATATTTTTATTATTAGGCAACTTTAAATTAAAAATGTTCATGATAAGCTTTAAATTTCAAGAAAAATAAAATATCGTTTTTACATTTGAAAAAATACTGTTATTAACATACAAAATCATATTTCGAATGTGTCAAATCAACAATCAATCACTTACTTCAGTACATATTTTATAGTTTCAACGGTTGATAAACAATCTATCAAGTGTGTGCAAGCTCCACAGCTTCTTATATACTATATTTCTAGCATGCGAACCATAGAATTTTTCGTCAGTATTAATTAGTAATAGCATCTTCCTATGACCAATCGAGAAACAGTTCTTGCAAGTATGACAGCGTTCAACTGAGAACAGTCTAATTGAACACCCAATTAATGACGTCGTTTTATAGGCAGCAACTTACGTTTGCTTCTTCTTAACTACAACCCAGAAAGAAAGAAAGAACGAAAGAAAGAGGAAGAAACAGAAAGATGAATTTTCATAAACACACCGGGCTCTACGTTCTCTCCCTGCGTTCTATAGAAATGCGTAGAAAGCCAACGTTAAGCGCGATTCACTGCCTTAATTAGTTTGCGCTGCCGTTAGCCTGTCACACTAGTTGGTAACTGGATATAGTTTCCAATTGTAGGAAATCTTGACTATCATCCCATATCTATGTAAACCAAACCTCGAGAACAAGTTATATATTTGGAACGGAAAGTTAGATGGAAAACAAAGAAGCATATTAATGTCAACGAATACAAGAGACAAGTGGGTGTATTTGCACAAGTCTTAAGCTTAATGTTCGAACGAACAGTATTTTGTGTCGTAAATTATTCCACATTCCCGTAAAATTAGAACTGCACAATTTTTCGAACAATCGAATTATTAAAAAAACGTCAACCAAACATTACCAACTACACTGAAAATAGCTGGAGGACAACGATGGATATAGGAATTCTCATTCAACGAGGAGGGCTGTTTTTTTGCATAATTAAAAAGACTAATTAGCGAATATTCATGTTCAAATATCATATTTACGCACACATGATGGTCATGCAGATTTAAATTAAAATTTAAGGTAGTGAAAACAGAGACGACGAAGAGGTGACAAGCCTGCTGCTGGGTTTAAAAGAACGAGCCTCAATATTTAGCAGTCGCTGAGTTTATTATAGTTAAAACTGTGACGAAATTGTTTGCTCTGTAAATATTAATAAACGTAATAAATTTTTCTGAAACTCCATGTACACTGTAGACATTCATTTGACTTTTCGATGCTTTTTTGCTCAGTTCCTTGTACTTGCGTTATTCTTTTTTCGAATGTACTTATTATTTATTTTTTCCTTGCTCTGACGGTATGGTATGAACTTTTTATAAAAAAAAAGTACGTTTAAATGTTAGTTCTTTCGGATTGTTTTAAAGCAATAAAAACATAGAGTATTAGTCATAAAAATAAATAATAGTGAACCAATCATCAATATAAATTTACAGATATCGTTAAAGGTTATAGAACGTTTGATTCTTTCAACTCATGCAGGTGTCACACAACACGCTGCAAGTATACTCTTCAGTCTCTTCGCCCCTCAATACACGTGCACGCATGCGAGGGTAAATATTCGCCCCCGGAATTATCTCTACGTCCACGAGTGTGAAATCTCCTAGTATTCATTTACGCAAGCCGGGTATAGAGCTTTAATGCGACAAAAGTGTAAACATCTGCAACCGCTATCTATACCACCGTGGCTCTTTGTGAAATTTGCAAGTAACGGGGCACAAATCGTGGCGGCCCCATGGTACAATAAGACTTGCTCTCTCGGTGGTGCTACTGCTGCTGTTGCTGCTGCTGCTGCCTAGGCGCGTTTCCATCGATGCGTCCTTTCAGAATTTGACAATATACACGTGTTTATATACCCATTTCATACTATATAAATACAATTTCAGCCACCGAGAATTAATTTGACAGTCGTAGAGTTTCCGGGGGTACATTCATCTACCTCGCTCGAAACTCTCTTACAATTGAAGAACTCGCGGTGCGCGCGATTATATACGTGCGCGAGTCAAAACGACAATTGAAATTCGTGCAGTGTACACCTGTACACCACTACGCCGGAGCTGATGTGTATTATGGCTGAGCGCCAACAAAGCGAGTATTTACAAATATTGGTATCGTATACACAAGATGCCCATATCATGGCTTGCGGTATTCTTCAATATCCGCGTAGTTATACGATGAGAAAAAATATCTCATAATAAAGTAACCGTGGAATATAATGAACATTTTCTCATAAAAATTAGTGTGTCATGCAATTTTTATTATGGTACACAGTAAATTGACTTAGTAAACTGGTACCATTTATTATGAACATAGATTTTTAGGTATTTTTCTCTGTGTACTGACTGAATTTTCAATTTTGCTGTATATCCTATACTTTTACTATTTTCATAATTACTGATTCCAGAGCAAGTCAAATTTACCTTTCCAAGTATGTTTATCTAAAGTATCTAAATTGACTTAGATTCTACGAAACGTATACATGGCGTTTTCTTTCTACACGCGTGTGTGCGTATATCACTACAAGAATTTATTCTCTTTCAACAAATCAAATTCTTTTCATTTGTATTGTGTTTATCATGTGTACAGTGTATCCTCGTTCGTTATGCCCGCTTCGAATCATAGTCTCTCCCGTACATATCCTGCAGACATATGAACCGTGTGTGTGAGTGTGTGTGTGCACGTGTGGGCGGTTGTACACCCCGTGCACTCCGGCTCTCGTCCCTCTTTCTCTCTCTCTCTCTCTCTCTCTCTCTCTCTCTCTCTCTCTCTCTCTCTCTCTTGCTGCGCGCAATGTTTCGGTGATTTTTCCAAAAACGAATATAGCCCCAAGTGACGTAGCAGCAGCAACAGCAGCAGCAGGTAGGTAGGTAGAGAGAAGTTGCTCTACCCCTGGATCTAAATGCAATTTTCCATGTTCACAAAATATCTCGGGCTATATGGATGGTCCGTGTGCTTGTAGCTTGTGCATGTGCGATTGGCGTTTTTCAACTGGCAGCAGAGAAAAGGTAGCAGGCAGCAGCAGCGCAGCATACTTGGTTATAGATTCTTCGTTTGGTTTGACAGCTTTCTCTCTCTCTCTCTCTCTCTCTCTCTCTCACTCCTTCTCTTTCGCTCTCTGCATATATCCTCTGTAGCGTACGTAACTGTGGATTTTTTACGTTTACGGTGCGTGCACGCGCCCGAACGAACAGTTATACACCGGGGGTATACTTGTCTGTTTCTCTACGTGCAGAGTGTGTGAGTTGCACACTCTCTCTCTGTATGTACATGGTCCATATTCCCTCTCGCTCTCTTTGAGCATTCGCTTTGGTCCATATGTCTGTCGATTTAGCTGTTCGATTTTGATTTGTTTAAGTTATTCGACTACAAGCGTGTCAATCAGGATTTACCAGATATTCGCACAGGCACAGGGAGTGAGAAGGAAACCTTATGTTTTTATCATTTGTTCCTATCTGTTTTGTTTCAATTTTTTATCAATGCGTCATTTGTATCTTTGTTTGGTTTGACAATGTTTTGATATCAGATTGAAATGAAAATTAATGAAACCTAAGAATAAGTATAAAAGTAATTTTAGGTTTTTAATTCAATAGAAATTAGTCATGAAATTTAACAAGCATCAACCTTTTCATTTTTAAGAAAAAAAAGTTGAAGTGAGCAATCGGTCGTGTTTGAGCAGACAAAGTTTACATAGTTCTCCTCAGAGAACAAAATTTTTCACAGGTTGATTCAATACGTACGGTTACAACGCGAGAAAATATTAGATAAGAAAGCGACAAACTTTGAAAAAAAAATTAAACTTTCAGAATTTAATTTTTCTATTAAATATTTTATAGAATCAAACATAAACAGCGTAAAAGTTGAAAACAAACAAGAAATTTTCAGAGTTTGTATTTTCAGTTGGATTTCCTTATGTAAATTCTTAACTTTAACTTTTTTGACTTTCATTAAGGGGAGTCATACACCAATTCACTCCTCGTTGTCATTTTTGTGATATAAACCACAGTTTAATATCAATATACATTTTCAACATAAAATTGACAAAATTCCACAAAACTCAGCCCATAAAGGATACTTTTCTGAAGACTTTGATACCTATCAGGGACTCCCACTTGAATAACTCTGATCTGAACCTTGCGCACAGTGCCGAAAGGCTAAAATAGCAAAAATAAGCTATTTAAGGTGCGAAGGACTATTCTGCAAATTTTTTCACATTTTTTAGGGCTCAAAGATGTCAATTTTATGTTGAAAATGTAAATTGACATTAAACTGTGGTTTATATCACATAAATGACAAAAAGGAGTGAATTTGTGTATGGCTCCCCTTAAGTTTATAAAAATCTTCGTTCAAGAAAGTCATTGCGGTCGTCGAAAATAGAATCTAACGTATGCTGCGCTAATATGACTAATCATAACAAAACAATACGCCCATAAATACATGGTATGCATGGCTTAAAATGTACCGATCTCTACTATAAGTAAAACCCTTACTTCAAGTGACTCGGTACTTCACAATTCATGAATGTTGTCGCACAGTTGTTACAATGCCATGCACAAGAGTTGCGTGGTTGCGCGCGTTTCGACAATGTTAAGTCCATTGTTCTCGATTTATCGTTTACATAAAGATTTTTTTTTTTCGAGTTTACGGCCATGAATAAGCTCAACTGCAAAAGGAAAACCGCGGTCATTTACTCGATGTATAAGCCTTGTTTTGAATTTTTCCAACTTATTAGAGCACAAATACAGCTGCGGCTTGTTATGATATCATAAAATTAACAATTGTGGATTTAATGAGAAGCGTTAATTCAAAAATAAAATTCACACAATTACATAAGCTACTTATAAGCAGGTTGCTACATCGATGCGTGTACTCTTTGATTTTTGCGAATCCACAAGTAAAGCTGCGGTGCAACATTCGCCGAAGTAAAAGCTCTCGGTTGCTTGTTTTACAGGTGTCTGCGTCTTATGGTCATCAATACCCAAACGAAAGTAAATATCGTTCGTTCATGCGTGGCACACAACGCAACATACAGGCGCATATGCACGCATATGGGCGACGACAATGCGCGGCAAAGAAGCAACGCAAAAAAAGCCCATAATGGACGCATCTATAATACTTTCCATCGCACATTGTTGTGTTCTTAATGCGGCAAAAGCGCAAGACTCGGCTCGACATTTAATATTTATAGTCCCCGCGGCAGTATTTTGCATGAATCGCATTAAACTCGGACCAATGACGCGGAATATTGAAAAGAGAAAACATTGCATCGTTTTATATACAACGCACAAAGTTTTCGGCGCGCGCGCACGGATACACGCTGGGCACATGACTTTATGCACGCATATTAATGCATTTGTGCGCCTGCAGCGCGGGTGCACGCGCGAGAACGTACAAAACTCGGTGGATTACGCCCTGATACAGAGAGATGAGAGCAATTACATTTTAATCGGGCCACGCTTGCCTGCATTCGTTTTGATCTGTATTCTCGGTAGAAAAATAAGTATATGTAAATGATCATAATCGCTAATGTAGGAGTAGACAAAAAAAGAAATGGCACTCGAGCTCGAAATCGATCGTTATCGCATGTTATTAATGAATCCGAGAGATAATTAACGTTTTTCTGAGTTACGTGATCGCGGCGGCGGCCTCGCTGCGGCGCACGCAGATTAAATGACAGTTCGTGTGCACCCAAAATACGTGGTAAAAGCGCTAGAATGTCACGCTGCACAAATATACGAAACGCACTAAAACCCGTCAAAATAGCGAAAATAGCGCTGAAATGTATAGAGGCAAAATTCAGCAGAGAATACTAGTCGCCTCAAAGGAATGTTTTTTTATTTAAGATTGAATTGTATAGATGTATGATATAACGTAACGACGTCGGCATAACGTGTATTCACATAAACGTATTCAAATGACACTTAGTCGGCGTATTTCGAGCAGTAAGTGCATGAATTTCATGGTATTAGAGGCTCGGCGAAAAGGTAAAAATAGAAAAATTTAATTCACAAAGTAATAGTTTTTGTCAAGATCTATTACCATTTCCTCTCAATAATAGACAATACATAATGAATTTAAATTGGTATGCTTTCGTTTTAACTAATCCATTAAAAACAAGATACAAGAAGAACTTCATTTTCAATAAATAATCATGAAGTAGTCGAGTTGAAGTGTGAAATTCCTATCCACGCGTTCCAAGATTTATTTCTATTTTATAGGAAATATTCAAAAAGATAGGAGTCAATGTTACACAGCGTTCTCAAGTCATTTTTTTTCAGTTCTTTCATTTCCTATCCAACCTTTCTTTTATATTTAATCGGTTAATACAAGAATTATATTTCTGCAATTCCAAAAATACAATAAATTCTCAACGATAAAATACTTGTTAAAAATGCTGCAAAGTCCACAGTGAAAGTGAACATTGTCAATAAACTTTTTAAACCTTACAAAACAATGAAGCTCAAGCCATATACGAGGCTATTTTCAAACAAACAAAATCATTCGCTTCTGCAATGTTGCATTCGAGCAATGTATCGGAAAGGGTGGAATATCTATGAAAACAAAAAATGCGTCGTCAATAGCTTTCATCCTTTTCCACCTTCGCACTACCCGATCTGTGATATTCTCTTTACACGCCACGATGTAAAAATGTTTTTTTCCGTTTGATGTGCATCCGTGCGTCGAGTGGTTGTGAAATTGATCGACTTCAAGGGCGTGTTAAAAAAAGCGACAGATATGCGCGGTGAACGTTCCATATGGAGTACTAACCGATCTGTGGAATAACAATGATTTATACGTCAGGATTGTTTATGCTTCAAAAGCAGAACTGGTAAAGGCTTTTAAGGGAACTTTGAAAGCCGAATCTTTGAAAGAATAAAAGAGCAGGAATTGCTATAAATCATTGTTAACATACTTTTTGAACATTCATGTAACAAAATTGTGAAGCAACCCTCGTGTTCATTAT